GGCGTCGCTAGCCCTTCTCCAAGAAGAGCCGAGGAAACGGAGAGCAGAATAAGTGACGCTACATTTGCCCCAGCCATGAGAAGTGCGCCAGGTACGGACTCCGGTAGAGGATGTGTTATCTCCATGGAGAACTCGAAGCAGATCGGGATTGCCGTGTTCTGCCCAAGTCCAGCCAGTATGTACACAAAACTACACACGCCGCTCATGAGTTTCGTATTCGGCGGTGCCCATACCATCGTCAGAATAAGTCCGGAACAGCATGCGGCAGAAAACAATAGGCACAGAAGAAGTGTCAATTTGTACTGCCTGCTCTGACCAACCCATGCGCCTACAGCGTAGGCGCATCCAGTTCCCGCTACGATGTTCACTGCACCCATGACACCCGCTAGCTCCTGTTCCACCCCAAATGGCTCAAGTATCTGTGTGAGCACCGAAGCAAAAGTCCAGACACTTCCCATGCTGATGCTGAAAGCGAAGAAAAGGAAAAGGAAGTCTCTTGACTTCAAAAGTAAGTATCCAGTGTGAGCAACGTGAATCATACCTCGTATATGCTCGTTTTGCTCCCACGACGGGCGGCCATCTTGGGCACTAATCGAATCGTTTGCCCGATCTTCGTGTTGGTGTGGCTGCCGCGTCCGGCCTCGCGAAGATGCGCTGGCGCCCTTGCTGCCCACACGCGACTCCCCGCGCTCAGTGGCAGAACACTGGGCGCTATCGTAGTTTTGGCTCCCTCGTCGTGGTGGATGCCGCGGCGGCTTCAGGAAAAAGATGACGCCAAGGAACACCGAGCAGCAATACGCCATCTCCACGCCAAAGAGTATCGTAAAGGAGCGGCGGTCAGCGGTCTGCACTACGAACGGAGGCACGAATAGGGCAATGGCGTTGCCAAGGCTGTTGGATGTGGTCGCCACCGCCGTCGCGAAGGCACGGCGGTGCGGTGGAAAATAGTGCGCGGCGATTAGGGGCGGAGTCGACAGAACGAATAGCTGCGCGATGGAGTTGATTGTCTGTGGAATGATCATTGTGGTGAAGGAGGGATAGAATAGCCCAGGCGCCACCTTCAACACGGAGCCGAGGGCGTTGAGGCCGGAGCCAATCAAAACTCCCCGCCGCACGCCCCACCGCTCAAATGTGGTGCACGTAAAAATAACACCCCCCGCAAAGATGATCATGTACACAGACGACAAGTAATTAAGTTGATCTGTGCTCATACCAAAGAACTCGCGGGCGGGAGTGGCTATGGGTGCAAAAGTAATCCATTGAATAGCGTTTGAGCTGCTGAAAAGACAGAAAAGAAGCAATACCACCCACTGGCGGGCATCGCGTGAGCCGCGCATGTGGCGTTGCTGAAGTTCCTGAATAAGCGACATACCTCTGTGAACAAAGGCAAACAACGAAACCTATTTCCCTAGTTCTACGGATACAGTAAACATATATGCCAACGCCCAATGAAAGAAAAAACAGAGAGAGACAAACAACAAAGCATAAATGAAGAGGCCGCGTTCATCGGGAAGAAAAATCACACGTCATCTGCACATTTGGCAGACGCTGAAGGAGGCGCCATAGAAGAGAACAACAAAAACGTCTCACTGGATTCAGAGAGCGTCTTGGAAAGGAGACCATGGAAGTGAAGCCTCACAGAACACTCCGTATCAGGCTCATAGACAATGTGGCTACATAGGATCCTCAATGACTGCCACGAAGAAAAACTCCCCTTGAGGGCAATAACAACAACAACAACAACAAACAAAACAAAGGAAAAAAGTGAAGTCAAATACACAAAATCCACATCCAAAGCCAAGGCAGGAGGTAAACTTCACATGAAGTAATGCGAGAATACAAAAACCATACTCGTCCCGGCCGTTTGCGCAGCATCGCACTCTCCCGCAGCCGATACGGTGATGCAGAATAGCAAAGCACAACAGAACACTACGCATGGGCGATTAAAAATAAAAACAAAAAATAAAACCAGGATGCGGTTAAGAAACCTGCCCAGAGCACTGGGAACCTATACCTTTCCTTCAAGAGCCCCTGCACCACTCCATAGAATATTAAGCACCCAGCAGGCCAAACAGAAGTACGAAAGGACTCAGCCCCCACAACCTCCACAAGACCACTTTAGCGAGCGCAATACTTCAGGGAAGAGAACATTTACATACCGCTCCCAAGGCAGAGTGAACACTATCAGGGTACAGCAGCAGAACCAGGCCCCAGTGAGAAAATTAACCACTACATTAAACCTGCACACTTTACCCGTCTTCTTGTACCACAAAAAACAGAATCTCTGAAATACAGATTCTCTGTGCACAGCAACGCGTCCATCACGTCTGTATCGGCTTTCATTGAAAAGTCCACGGGGAAAAGCTGCAATGCAACAGGATCCTTCAGACGCTGGTGCAGCGACGCCTCAACAGCACATACACATATTTCCCGTCGACCCCGCAGAGATGACCAACCGCACAAACACGATCCCGGACACGCACTCCCTGATGCCGTGCGGCGTTTCAACCTCAACGCGGTCCACGAGCGCTCCGTACAAGCAGAAACTGTGCAGCTCCAACCCAGAGGCGCGCGAAGCCGGGCGGCGTGGTCAGCGCCCTCACCACACGCGGGGTAGCGTTTCTTTTTTTTTTCCCACAGCAGCCAATAGTGCTGGCAGAAAAGCCAGCAACTACTCGTCTCATCGGCCACCTCCGCCGCCAGCTCGTCCATGCGTGCCGCATCGTGCAGCAGGCGCGGAAGCAGGTCGGGGGAGAGCGTCACGTCACTGTTCGTTACAAACACGAAAGGCATCTTCTCGCGGGGAAGCGACATCGCCAGACGCAGCCCAAAACTNACGGCGCCACTGTACCCAATATTCTCCGGGCAGCGCCGCACCACGAGGCGCCCAGACCACCCGTACGCGCCCTCTACCTCATCCAGGAACGAAGACAGCTGCGGCTCGCGGCCGTTCTGCACCAACACCAGCAGCCGGATCGGAACGCTGATGTTGCGCATCACATCTTGGAAGTCGTGTAGGTCAAGCAGTAGCGGAATCACAACCATGGGAAGGACGCCGGGCCCACTGTTACTGCCCAGCTGCCAGGGCTCTGCATCCACCAGAAGGCGTTCGCCCACACAGCGGATATGGTTCTCTAGTGATTGACGACCGGAAGTGTGCTAGGACGCAATGTGGCACACCTAGAGGCCTACCAGAGAGTGGCGAACACATATAGTCAGCGTGACGGTGCCAAACTTGATTGTGAGGGTGACCTTTCTTCGTTTTGAATGGCCCTCACACAGGGCCCTTGCTGTAGGCACATCAGCATGTAGAATCATGTGCATCTGCAAGAGAATACCTCGCTTCTTACATCTAGAAGGAAAGATGAGTAAAGAATGCATGCAAAGTGGCAGCTCCACAATGAGAGAAACAGAAAAAAAAAAACCGGGCGTAAAAAAAACTATTCATGCAATGAATAGCCAGTCCGTTATAGCAGATTAAAACACACAAACACACACGAAAACCTGTACAGAATCATCATACGTAACACCACTGCAAAGATCTGGCGAGTAGCTTTACACAGCAACCGTAAGGATAGCAAGGCAATATAGCCCGTTACAGTTTTTCAAGACTGCTCATATAAAAGTCTTAAAGACCACAAGTCATTTCACGGAGGGTTCGCTGCCAAATTAACCGTGGAGCAGGTTTACCTGGTCACGGAAGTCACCTCCCACCACACCCGCAGACCACGGAAACCGCAACAACCACTTTTCTTCAGATTGACGAACAAAAAATCAGCAGTGGTATTTCCAAACAACAAACAGCGATTGTTCTCGCAACACAAAAAAATTCTATGCAAAATTATCCATTAGAATCGCATTGGTGCCTTGTGGTGGCTGCATTTTGTTGTAGACCCGTTTCGCACGGCTTGCAAACTGCAGCGTTGACAGTGTTTCTGATATTTTCGTTATCCGAGGCGTATGAGGGGATATGCAGGCCACAAGTAGCGTTTTTGCGTCTCCGCCCATCGAGCCTTGTAGCATCTGCGTGACCTTATTGTTTCGATACGGCACGTGGGGTGGGGCAGCACCCGCGTTTGCTGAAGTGAGGGCACACAGGACATCGCCAATGGCGGAGAGGCTCTTGTTGATGTATTGCGCTTCCCTCAGCCGCTCCCCACTGGCAAGTGATTGTGACACACGCTCGCTCCCAGCCAAGTCGCAGAACATGAGCTTAGAGTTGATCGGACAGCCATCAATGGCAGCTTCTGACTGTATCCAAAATGTAGCAAACAGATGGCTTCGACTTGATGCCGCATTGCGGAAGGTCGTGTGTGTCTCTCGAAGATTCATTCCATGATTAAAGGCGCGCACCGCACACGCCCAGTCAGTGATGGCTACTCGAGTCGAGGGTGGTTCCGACGTGGTCGCGTGCGTTCGGCAATCAAGGCACTTTTTCGTCACCTCCGTGGGCGTCGCCAAGAGGTCAAAGATGCGGTCGTTGTATAGCTCTACCACCGACAAGTGCAATGAGAGAATTCGCCAGCATTCACCTTGCTGTAGTTTGTTAGTTAGCCAACGAACACTGCGTGGCAGCAGCCCGTCGCTGTCGCAGTCGCCTGTGTCGCTCAAGACGCCGTCTCGGCCAACAATCGTGAACGTCTTTCCGCTGCCGGTGGGACCGTACGCTAAGATGGTGGCATTAGTCCCGGCCACACACAGCTCTAGCAGGGGCTGCACCTGCTCATCAAAGATACACTGCTGTTGCCGCTCACTCTCCGCGCATGCATCACCGCTGTCAGACGCTGGCCCGTAGGCAGAGAAGAACTCAAAAGCACGCTTCCCAGTGGAGGGGGACGTCACAGTAATGGTTCCATGTTTCTCGTCGAGAGCAACGTCACCCTCCTCTATTAGTTCGCGGCCCAACGATGCCTCCTCGGCCACGCGTGGCCGCATGCGAACCACGACCCGCACAGCGCCTTTGTGCTCCTCCACATCATACCGGAGGCGCCGCTGCTGTTGCTCCAGACGCTGCAGCTGTGATTGGGCGCATGCTCTCTCATGAACCAACTCTTGGAGACGTAGTAGAGATCGCTGACGATGGGCCGAGGAAGAAATAAGCCGCTGCACCAGTGTCTCGTCATCGATGTCATCTTCGGTTGTTCCACGCATTTGATGTGTGTGACGCGGTAGCGAGGCAAGCAGGTGCATGATCCGCTCTTTGGCCGTATCTAATCGACGCGTCGCAGCTGCGGCGTTAGTGCTTGCGGCGTCAGCTTGCCTCCCTGTGTCCGACAAGCGCTGCTCCACTTGCGCGTGAGCCTCACGCGCAGCAGAAAGCTCCTCGCGCACACCTTGGAGGCTCGCTTGGCACTCTCCCAGGTGCTGCTGAAGCTGTGCAAGCTGCTGGGAAGCACGTTGCTGGTCCTGCTGCTGCTTCTGCTCTCGCTCCCGCTGCCGCCGCGCGGCGGCAGCGAGCACCTCACTCTGGAGCCGTGCGTATGCAGCCTTGACCTCTGTGAGCGTACGCACCTCCGCACTTGTGAGAGGGCGACAATCCGCCTCCTCCCCCGGCTGCAGCGTTCCCCCCGTGACGGGAGCGACGTGGTCGTTAATGCGTTCCACATGCGTCTTTGTAGGAGGAGTCGATGGGAGTGTGTCGCCGCAGCAGAGCGCCTCTTTCGCCCGCACTTCTGCCGCTGCAGCAGGCGTCGCCTGATGATACGCAAGGTCCGACTCCCGATTGACGATGTGCCGCGCCGTCTCTGCCACGCTGCACGCCCCGCCAGTAGGTGTCACGACCAGCACGACACTCGCCGGCAACACCATCTCCGGCGCGACCGGCAGCCCGTCCAGCTGCAGCGAAAACTCCGTGAGGCCGCACAGACGCTCAAGCTCGCCCTGCAGATCCCGCGCGGTCACACGTGTCATGCAGCGGTTGCCAGGCTGCAGCGCCACGGCCACGCGGTACCGCCGCGACGTGGCGGCGTCCACAACGTAAATTTTCCCAACCTCACCCTCCGTCGCCAGCATACGGTCCCGCTCGCACTACTTGCTTGCACCACACCGCAGCTGCACCGCGGGGCGGAGTTGGGGTCGGCACTACACCCACACACCGTACGAACAAGGAGATGATGGAGAACGCAGATGCACTCTTAAAAGCGTGGACCTGTGTGCATGTAGGTGTGTCGCTCTTTCCCACTCTCTTTTCTCTCTCCTTCTGAAAGAGGACGAGGGAGGAGAAGGAGAAAAACAAACAGCGGAACACAACAAAGGAGCAGTGGGCGAGATGTGCTACCATCGTGCATCACGCATCAACGCAACAACAACAACAACAACAGAAACAAAACGATCAGGCAAGAAGTCATTAAGATAAAAGGACATGCCGCCCACCAATCTGCTTCCTCGCCTGAAAAAGGCATTTTGGATTTATGGATTTTGAGAAGAAAAAAAAAAAGAACCAAAAAGAAAACGAGAATTGGAGCAAGAACGAAAAGAAGTGCGTGGAATATTTCGCGGAACTGTAGCACATCAACAGCCCATAATACAGGAATCCCACTGGCAATGATTCACTGAGCACAAAGACGAATGAAAGGTAAACCTCACAGATACTCCAAGTAGCACAAGCATACGGAGGCGCAAACATATACGTCTAATATATATATATATATATATA